GGGGGGATAAAACATACGGATTTTTTTCGCGCAAGAATAATGCACGAGAGAACGCGATACAAAATCGGCGGGATTTTAATCCGCGCCGCGTGTACAATTCCTTTATTATACCAAAAACGCCTCTCTAAAAAGAGCTTATCTTCCTTCATTATCGCTAGAACTGAGAGACCGTACTACAAATTCTAATCTATGGTACATATTTATACATTGAGCGCATCGTCAGAGAGGCATCGCAGTGACGCTCTCCACGATAGGTGTATGTGTGTGACAGTATCGTTACATAGATGTGTCCTCGTTTACATACGTAAACGCGTGCACATGTTTGAGGAACTCTGAACTTCCTTCCTTCTTTAGCGCCATCCGTTATCATACCGCGGAAGGACTCGTGTGTATATATATGAAAATAACGCGAAACGAAGGAAAAACTCGAGCATTTTGGACTTTGACCATTCTCAAAGAGAATATGCGTACCCTTTCTATAATATTATAGATATTCTTTACATTCCTCCTTTATTCTTCCTTTATCCTTTTAAATACCCTCATACAGGGACAATTGTTTAACGACGATAGAATGTATTTTTGTAATCACACACATATACGTAGGAGAGATTATATTATATATATATATATAATTTATGTATAATTAAATCCAATAATTCTTTATTCAATATTTATTAATTATTATATCTCTATGTGTGGTAAAGGGGATTAATTGTTATTTGGAAATCCACATTTTACAAAGTGTGCTTCTCTCTCTTTCTCTCTCTCATACATACAATCTCTCTCAATTTCTCTCTCTCTCTCTCTATATATATATAGTAAAAATGTCCATTTCGTGAAAAAGGTGTCTGAAAACGCACAGGTACAACACATGCAGTGTTCTTCGAATAATGATACATAAATTTTATTTCTTCAGATTTTTTCACGTTGCGTTAATGGTAATGCATTTATGTATAAATATATACACATATATGTATAACCCTTACGTCACGGTACCTTCATCTCTCTTACGTCATATTATAAGTTACACGCTGCGATTAGAGAGTGCGAGACGCGCGTGTTATAAATTCTTATAAACTACATGTGAAAAGCTAGGGAGAAAAGGCGAGGTTTACGCACGATAAAAAAACGATTTAGCGACACTACTCGCCGCGAACTTTAGTCCCGTTCTTCTCGCATTGCCGCAATCAATGGAACTTTCGTACATACGAGGCAGTGGAGAGCATTTCGAGAAAAAAATGCCCGCAAGGTGGGAAAGTTCGAGGAACCTTGACTAAACCAAAGCGTAATTAAAGGAGCACGATAGGAACTAAAGTGCGTGCGAGTACCGGAAGCTATCGAGTCTACGGAAATCGAGTGGAAATTTGTATAATCTCTTCGTTACAAACATCATATTGTCTCTATCTTTTATTTTAATTAAAGTCGATCGGGGAAGATAATATATCTGAATATGACAAAATTTTTAACGATAATAGCCATTTTTCCCAGTAATTTTGCAATATTTTTATTAATTATATGTTTTTTTTTATAATTTCCTAACAATATATCCCGAGAAAGAAAATATGAACATATTCCATATATAATCATACATGATTTATATATGCACATGGATTTTTTTCCCCAGGAACACACTATTAAAAACATCGTCACATTTACCATGATTTTCTTTCAAATATGAATTTACCGCGAGAGAAATAAAATATTTTACCGAGGCTATAGGTATGGCAGGAGTTATAATCTCGACAATGGTGTGGCAATATAAATCAGACCGCGTTTGTTTGTTATTGGTGTACAGAGTAGAAAAACTTTAGTTGAACGCAAATACAGAGAAAAAATTGCACAAAATTGTATTGGGTAATTGTATAAGATTTCGATATAAAGTACTAACAAACATAAAAGATAAAAAAACGGCGATGGTGCTATAAAAAAAAAAAGAACCCTCTCTTCCTCTCCCTTCCCTCCCCCCGTCCCTTCCCCGCTTTGCGCATTAATACGATCTACAAGCCGGCGGAAAAATAAAAAATGGAATGTATTTTCGAAACTCTTTCTTTTAATAATCATGTAACAATACTCGTTATATTCACGATTAACATACATTACTTATCTATGTTGCAAATATTACATAAAAAAGATATCCGTTTTGCGTTTTTTTTCTAAAATTATAAAAACGACGGTAGCAAAAGTTTCGGAACCTGACGGGCGGTGAACGTCGTCGTGTAACGACGTTATATTATTACTTTTAACGCTAAAAACGATAGGTAAAAAAAAAGAACGACGGCGATATATATATATACACATATATATATGTATATAATATATATATATATAAGTGTAACTAAAGTTTTCTTCCTAAGTCACTCTGCGGTTTTTTTTTCTCGTCGGGAGGTAAAGATATTTCTCATCAATCATATAACACGATCTCGAGTCGTTCGACCGCGAAAACGGCCAAAGTTTCGTCGAGCAAAAGGAAGGAACGCACGCATCATCATCATGTCATTGTGCAATTCTTATCACGACTGCACTATCAGAGAGGACGAGAATGCAACACGACGCGAGGAAGAAAGAGGGAGAGAGCTCCCTCTCTTTCGCTCGAGGTATTTCTCTTGATGGGCGGAAGGGGCGGGGGAGAAACGTTACATTATGCGTCTCATTAATCTTTAATTAGATAATTAATTCACTATTTACGAAAAGTCATAATAAAAAGTAGTACTCTATATATATTCGGTATTTCAATAATAATATTGTAATAATAATTATTATATTCCAATAGCTTTGTCTGTAGTTTTATCGTCTATAAATCGGATAATTAATTAATTAATTAATTCATAATGTTATCATCGACGCGCGCACTTTGCGCGTGTATGTATACAGACCGCGGCCCATAATCTTCTCTCGAATATGTTCGATAAATATAAAAAAGAAAAAAAATCGTAATACATGTGTTTATGCTACACATATATATATATATATATAATCATTCACCTCTTTCTTTCGCTCGCTCGCTCTCTCGCTTACAATAGTAAATCTCGCTGCGAATGCTTCGCGTACCAACGCGCACTCTTTTTCCCCCTCTCGCTCTTTTCGCATTTCAGTATATTCAAGCAGCCATTCGAGAGAGGAAGAGAGAATCTCTACAATGCCGTCTGGTTGCAAGCACCATTGGTTGGTATTGTCGATGATCGACCGCGTGTCGCAAAAGGACGACTTTCGCAATGTCTCTTCTTGTCCGCCCTTGCTCGCTTCCGGAAAGAGTAAGGACGGTCAACAATGTATCGGCTACGAACGTCGTCCCCGAGAAGAAAAGCTTTACTCGTTCGATTTCTTCCTCTTCCTTGTTTTCTTTTTTTTTTCTTTTTATTGCGAGGCGATTGGTTATAGGATTTATTTTTTGACAACAATCGATCTGTACGCGTTGGTGTGTGCGGCATTCAAACATCCATATTCTCTCTTAAAGGTTTAATTACCACAAAGGTATACACACCATTTTCAGATTTACAACATTGCCCTAAAAACACAGCCATACTAAGCCAAATACTTTTTGGGTTTTGTCGTTTACACGATTACTTCACATTCTTTTCTTTGCTATATATAGTAAAATCATTTATTTAAATCTACACTCGATTACCGTTCCTTTTGCTAGCAATCCTCGCTAATTTCTCGCTATTGTTCATTAAAAAAAAAAGAAAAAGAAGGAAAGGAAAAGAGAAAAACTGCGTACACACAATGCGCTCACAATCTCGTTTGATCCTCCGAAATCTTAGCAGCTCGAGCCGGTAAATAACAACAAGCGAGTCCGATTCATGGAGGAGAAAGGAGGAAAACTTTCCTTTTTTACAGATATGTAAAACATATGTAAATAGATGTATAAAACATATAATAATGCGTCATTCGGAACGTTACGCGCTTTTCTCCCTCTGTGAAGCGTAATCTAAGAGAAGGAATGTATGTCCCGGTATCGAATTTTTACCGCGTCGTCAAGACTTCTCTAGAAGACTACTTAGAAAAGCAAGTTCAGATCGTGTCGCAGTGTGCATTGCAATCTGCGAGATACCGACGTTCACCGAATGCGGCAAGACAGATGGGCGACATCAAGCATTCAATGAATTTTAGAGGATTCGATTGCCTGTAACGATACGTGAAAAAATTTGATACACCCAATCAAGGTCGACCGCTGACCTTAATCAAGTTTCACCGATTTTGATCGTGTTCTCTTTTATCTAGTTTCGTTTCGTTAATCCACGAAAGTTAAATTAAAAAAAGAAACACGATCAAAGAGCTGCTGAGAGTTCAAACGAGAATTCGTAACGCATCGATGTACAATTTCGAATCATGCATGTAGACGTGCGCTCGCGCGCGCGCGCGTGTGTATATGTATATATATGTATCGCGCGTTTTGTGCATTTTCGGTGGAGTTAAATTATTACAATATCGATTGACATTTCTTTTATTCATAATTATACTGCAAGATTGTATCTCGAAAATCGAAAACACAATCGTTCTCACGATCATTATAAAATTTCGTTTTTGTCAGCTTTATACCGGTGTATATATATTTTTGTGTGTGTATGTATGTATGCACTAATCTTTCCTTGCTTTCAATTACGTTTTTCTTTAATCATCAGTTGACTTAATTTTACACAATAGCTACATTATACAAAGTATGTACTTCAAAAATATCCGACGGCACGGATCTTTTGAACCACAACATGTTCACGCACATTCCACGTTATTATTAGGTCATTTTAAATAGGAGTGGTAAAGAAAGAGATGGAAAGGGGGAGGGGATGCAGGGATCTGAGAGAGGAGGGAGGAGCTTACACTTAGAGCTTTGCTATGATACAACACTGGCATAGTTATGTAATGTGATTCGGTGTGTTTTGTACGCGGGTCATTTGCCAACCCGTGTGTAGTAATAACGCGTGTGAATTCCTCTCTCATTCTATGCAAATATTACAATATATCTATGTATGAATTGATCATAGTCAATAGACTAACATAATAATAATAATAATATATTATAATTATAATAT